CACAGTTATATTATAGAAAATGAATTTCACGTGGACCAAATCGACATGCAAAAATTTGATCGAATTAAAATTTTTGAAATATTTAAAAATTTAAGAAAAACCGTCATCACACTTTATGCCATAGAAAATTTCACATGGACTAAATCGACATGCAAAAATTTGATCGAGTTAAAATTTTTGAATTCAAAAATTTAAAAAAAACCATCATCACACTTTATGCCATAGAAAATAAAAAATTTCACATGGACTAAATCGACATGCAAAAATTTGATCGAGTTAAAATTTTTGAAATATTCAAAAATTTATGAAAAACCACAGTTTACACCATGGAATATTAATTAACACTCCAAGATGAAGAATTTTCTATTTCACGTATTCAGATCAATCGTGCGATAATTCGATCGATTTTACGATTTTTGAAATATTCAAAAATTCAGAATACAAAAATTCAAAATAAAAATTCAGAATAGAATATGATTAACACACCACGAGAAGATGAATTTCTTAATTTCGGATCGGCGGTCGGTATCCTCCTCATAATTACTCCGCTCACAAATACTTACAAACCCAACAGTCTCTTAGGAAAGGTCCAATTATCCCCCACCCCCCGTCAACTAATTTCTCCTGTCCATCCCAGATCTTAAAAACTGTTCGAGAAGCCTCGAAAGGAGCCGCAACTTGCTAGCCTCCTCTGTTGGGAAGAAGGGGAGGGGAGGCTGCGGGATAATTAACGGGCGTACGATTTAATTAACGGCTGCTTAATGCAAAGTAACTACCTAGAAGTACTCGCGAAGGTGTTTCCAATGGGGTGTTTCCTTGCGGGGGTGGTCCGTGGCCTTGGTCACGAGCAGGGACTGAGAGGGGGGAGTGGAGAGAGGGTTTGGAGGGGTGGATTAAGCGTCTCGCGTAACAGCCCTTGACGAAGGGGACGTGATTTATATAATTTAGCAAAGTGGTGAGCTACGCAGCCTTGTACAGGGTCGTTAGTTACCCTTCCATCCCCTCCTCCTGTTTAGTCTCTCTCTGTCTTTCTGATCGCATCTCTCTCTCTCTCTCTCTCTCTCGTCTCTCTACATCTGTCCGCCAAGATTTCCTATCTTTCTGATAAGATGGATCTTACCCTTACGTGTAATCGTTTGTAATGATAATTAAGATAATTAAAAGAATTAATCGTTTCATGATGATAATCTTTCGAATTAATAAATTTCCACATTTTCACAATTATTATTTAATATAATTATTTATAGAATTTCCACAATTCTATAAATAAATAAATGGAATAAATTTCTAAGGATTATTTGTATTTGTACAGAGAAATGAAATAATATTTCTAGGAGAATATTTTTGTTGAAAAAATGGATTGGAACCTTAGAAACGAAATTACCATTCGATTAACGATACTTTAACACCAATAACTTTATATCAATTCGATTACAATCGGTTACCAATCCATTCTCCCCCCCTCAATGACCGACATCCTCCTCTCGTTATCCGCGTGTATGTGAAATCTCGTTGGTCGATTTTCGTTTCGTGGTCGGAGATTTTGGGACGAGATAAAAGTAAAGAACGAAATTGCAAAAGAGAAGGGGGTGAAAAAATAAGGGAAAAAACGAGGCCTCGATTAAAACTCGAGGAGAAGTTACAAGGATCACGATGAAGTATCGCGCTTTAATCAATTAGCGCGTAGCTACGGTAATCCAATCGGAGGCATGGCAGAGCGGATCCCCCCCATATGTATATCCATATGTACAGCGGTTTAAAACCCCCTCCTGGTAAAATAACTCGCGCGGTTTCCGTTCTCGTTCCAATCATCCGCCCCTTCATCGTCAAACTACCCCCGCCGCTCCCTTTCACCCCCACCACCCGTCTGGATTTCTCCCGTTGTCGATCGTTTTGACGATATCCGCCACTCGATATCCGCCCGTTATATCCATGCTTTGCGATCTTATGACCGATTTCTTCCCTTCCCTTTTTTTTTTTTTGGAATTTTTTTCCATTTTACGAAATTTATTCCTTGGAAATCTGGATCATTTTATTTTACAGAATGTAGATATATTTTGGAATATATACATACGAATGTTATCAAAACTTTTGATTTCTTTTTTTTTTGAATAAAAATCCAAATACGAATTCGAAGTAATAGTACAGTGAGATTGTTAAGTCTTGTCCAAATTAGTCATCTCCCTTCGAAGATTTTTCAGGCACGTTCTACGTTTCAACTAATAAAATCAGCAATGCAAGAGCATATCCTTTTACTCGTTATCTCGAGTAAAAAAAGTAAATATGGAAGAGACATGGACGAGCAAACGAGTCATAGGCGCGAACTCGCGGGTCGGAAGGATAAAGCGAGAGATAGAATGGGGAGGGGAGGAAGAGAGAAGGAGCGATAGTGGAAAACCCTCGTGGAAAAGGCGAAGCAATCACACTCGGACACGAGGGGCCGCTAATTCGATTACTAAGAGCGCTGCCCTCTTGGCCTGATCCGCCGGTCGAACCGCCCCAGCACCGGCCTCCGCTTTTCTCTCCCTTTCCAAACGAGTCGAGATATCGCGGCCATCAGGCGTATAAAAGCGTCGGGACAACCATGGTTAACAACCTCTTCCCTCGGCTTTTTTTGTCGCGTGCGCGTTCTAACTACATATGCCACGTCCATGAATTACTTGGAGAAGGATCCGAGGGAGGATGGATGGAAGAGGCGAGAAAGTGGTGCGTGGATGGAGATCCTTGGAATTTGAAATAAAGATCGAGGTGTGCAGCTACGAATAAATTGTTCGAGGATTTTAATAAGTGATTTAGCTTGGAGAGTAACTTTATTAAATACTGTATTCGATAATGTTTCGTTACTTCATCCTCAAATTTTATATACTCTAAACTTTGGATTATTCTTCCCCTCTTTTTATCGTATTTCATTCTTGCTTAAATTATCCCTTTCTTGCTTAAATTAACATGAAATAAAATATATTCAATGTTTTTATTAATCGATTATAGATCTTATTACTTAATTTTCCAAATTTCAAAATCGATCGAAATTATTTGTGAAGAAAATATCCAAGAATACAATAAAATTTGACATCTGAATGAAACAGAACGTCAAATCTATGAAGATGTGATTATAAGGTAATGAATTAATGCCACATCTAATACTCTAATAATTAAACATCTCGAGACTAAAAAATTTGAAAGTGCACTATTTTTTATAAATATACCAATCAAATCTGAAACTACTACAGCCTAAAAAAAGCAATTAAAAATACCGCCTATTTCTTACTTCGAGTCAAATTTTCACGATTCAAATTTCACTCAAATTCCATCCATCCGAATCATCGTTTATGTTTTCCAAAACCTGTCCAGAAAAAGATTCGCGAGGAAGCGAGCCGAGGATTGGCCTGATAGATAAATATGGGGAGAAAAATTCGAGGTGGGTCAAAAACTTACGGGGTCGTAAACTTACGAAAGAGAGAGGGGGGAAGGGGGACTTTGACCAGGGGGCGGTC